CACCTCCGCTCCAAGCTATGAGCACTAGAATGCCAAGACCCTGGTCTCGGTCATCTTGAGCTTCCCTCGTATTACCTAGCACAGCACCTTGCTCATAGTTGGTGCTCAATAAATGATTATTGGATTGAAGAAATATTTTGTAGCGTATTTTTTTAAAAATTTAAAAGAACTGGTAGACTAACAAGCAAGGTGTTTTTTTCTCATAATGTCTCTCTGGTTACATTTAACAGCAAGTTAAAATTAGATCTTTTTTTTTTTTTTTTTAAAGAAAGAAAACCATAGCAACTGTGATCTTGAATGTTTCAGAGAGCACATTTTGAAGGATTCTCTTTTGCTGAATTGCCCATGTTTGAGCTGCCTATTTCAATTAAAAATTTAATAAATAATCTGTGGTACTAATAGCCGCGTAAACCACTGATTGAATCTATGATGCAACAGAAACTCCCACACAGAACAGAACGCTTGATGAAATACTTGAAGAAAAAACATAAATGTGTTGAAAATCCACTGAATAAATTTAAAATAGTTACCCACTGGAAATGATTGAACATTAACGTCTCTTTGTTTCTTGTACTTGTATTTATTATTCAACCTTGGAGATTGTTCCAATGTTTCATGTCAATATTTGCTAAAGATTTTTTTAAAGGCCTGTTTCTATGATGAAATCAATTTTACAGTGCTGTCTTCTAAATTAAAGAATAAGTATTTTTACAGAATGTTATCAGCAATTACTTCTTTGATGTACATAATGATTGTCTAATAGTTTTCTCTGAAAGTATTTTTATTGAAGTAATGATTAAACTGTAGCTCGGTGTCTCAGGAACACTGACTAATGTCATGTTAATCAACTTGACTACTAAAAAAAAGTGAAGAGGTTGATAGTTTAAATCTAGTTGGTACATGATTCACTTGAACTATCACAGAAGAAAATGTACTTTACCCACGACCAAATTTAATACAAAAAATAAATCCAGAAAAATTTCTCAGAAACAACTTTTTCAAAGTTACAGTCCATATTTTTTTAAGAAGATCCAATTCTGCTTCTCTTAAATAAGAATGTGTAAATTAGCTGTTGATTCACAGCATTCAGATTGATCAACATCTATTGAATGGCTGCTCCATACAAAGCACTGAACTAATGTCAAGAAGAATAAAGTGTATTTCTGCTTTTATGGCGGATTGGAAAAAATAAGTCATTCAGGAATAAGTGCGACATAAAAAATGAAAAATAAGTGCTATAAATGCCATTGGCATTATTCTGAGGAGGTAAAAATGGATAACTGCTGGGTAGGTTTGGACGGCTGGAATGGGGTGGTAATAGGAAGATGGGGAATTCTTAGCTGACAGACTGAAAATGAACATTTTTGGAATTAACAAGATGTTCAGCTTGACTTCAGGGTAGTTTATAGGAGGAATGCTAAATAAGGCTGAAAACACACACTGAGCTAGGTGGCAAAAGGCCTCAAATTCCAGATGATTTAAATAGAGTTTTATAATTTTTGAAGAAGCCATAAGCGGCAGTTCCATAACTCTTCTGCATATGTGTGACAATTTTTATTTAAAAAAAATAAGCAACAGGCCATACAGCTGCAATAAAGTCATCTGATTTTCAACCAGCACTGAAAAGTAATGGTTGGGTTTGGCCACGCTTTTTCAGCCTGTGTTTTTACGACACTTTTAGACATTCAGGTGTTTATTCTGAATTTGGGAAGGAACCTGAATTAGTTTCTTCCATTTACTGGGAATAATTGATCTTTCAGATATCTGAAAGCTAAACATTCGCTTACGTATTTATTCCCTCTGAGTGCTCCCTAGACACCCTATATGCTTTTTCCTCCTCTGTTATTTTTTCTTGTGTAGAACTGCACTGAAGACAAAAATGATGATTTCTATAGAGCAGTTTAAAGACTAATGCAGAAGTACTCGGAATTCTATTTCTTAAAAACAATAAAACCTTCCTTCTTGCAGAAAGAAAAAGGCTCTGGGTGAGGGACATCCCAGAGGAGAACTGGGGTGGGAGGAGTTTGGGGGAAAACATGCAGAGGAAAGGAGCACAGGAGGGAGGAAAATGGAGAGAGGGAGGCAGAGAGAGATGATTATTCTCTAGAAGAAATGTCTATGAGGATAACTTTATGCATTTATATGTGTTCAAGAGATGGGAAATAAATACAGCAGAGATAGGTAACGCTGCTGTAGATGCTAAAAATGTTTCTAATGCCAACCAACTACAGATATTCTGGTACATTTTAGCTTCTGGTGCTTGAAGTAGGGAAGAGTTTGCTAAGATAAGATACCTGGGAGGTATCATGAAAATGTTGGAACAGCTCACAAACCAGTGTTTTCTGTTGATATTTTTAACAGCCTATTGTAGAAATGAAAATGAACCAGAAACCCTTAAAACCAGGTATTTTGAGCTTTAAACAAGTTTCAAGAGCTGTATCTCTGCTACCAAAAGAAACTTAACGGTATAGATGCATACCTGGAGCGTGCGTTCAACAGAGATCTTAACTGAAGGACTGAAGTTCATTTTTACTCAATCTAAAGCATATGTAGACATGGCACAAGAGCCAACACAAGATAAAAGTGATGGCCAGGACCGTTTTCCCCTTGCCACTCTGAGTAGCCACATTAGCAGTGCAAAAGATGTTGAATGCCGGCAATGTTTCTAACAGAGGAAAAGGAAACAGGGTCTTGCCCAAAGTGAATCTGTTGATGGGGCCTGTGATTCACAGTCATGTTGATCTTCAATACTAAACATGACAAAGATCGGTAAAAATTTCAAACTTTTAGATGTTTTATCCTATAGAAACACAACTCTACTGTGTCATTATGAATCATTGGGGAAATATTCTAGAACTTAGCTTTTACAAATTAATATACAAGATAGCTATTATTAGAATTATTGGAATTCAGTCATTCTTATGAGATAGCATATACTGTCACAGTAGATCCTTTGATATGTCCATGTGTAACCTTAAATCTTTTCTGATGATGTGTATGTCCAATGGTACAGAGGGGGAAAGTACTTCAAAGGTTAGAGCCATAGGAATAGTTTTGGTTCCTCCCTTACTTAAAAATCTGGCTGGGCCCAGTGGCTCACACCTGTAATCCCAGCACTTTGGGAGGCCCAGGCAGGCGGATCACAAGGTCAGGAGTTCAAGACCAGCCTGGTCAACATGGTGAAACCCTGTCTCTACTAAAAATACAAAAAAATTAGCCAGGCGTGGTGGCAGACGTCTGTAACTCCAGCTATTCGGGAGGCTGAGACAGGTGAATCGCTTGAACCCAGGAGGTAGAGGTTGCAGTGAGCCAAGAGGGCACCACTGCACTCCAGCCTGGTGACAGAGAGAGATTCTGTGTCAAAACAAACAAACAAACAAAAAATCTATGGGTCACAGTTCAGGATATTTTTTTGTTTGTTTGTTTTACTTTAAGTTCTGAGATACATGTGCAGAGCGTGCAGGTTTGTGACATAGGTATACATGTGCCATGGCGGTTTGCTGCTGTTGTCAACTCGTCCTCCAGGTTTTAAGCCCTGCATGCTTTAGGTATTTGTCTTAATGCTTTCCCTCCCCTTTCCCTCACCCATCCCCAAGAGGCCCTGGTAGGTGATGTTCCCTTCCCTGTGTTCATGTGTTCTCATTATTCAACTGCCTCTCACAAGTAAGAACATGTGGTGTTTGGTTTTAGGGTCTTCTTTGGGCAAACTACTGTCTTCCAAACAAACAAACGAAAATAATGAGCAACATTAATAAACTTTGAAAAGTGACTCAAGATTTTTATCTTTAGTCAGACACTGACCTTGAAGATGAAAGGAAGCACAAATGTTAGCTTTTATCTCATTGTTATCTAATTATATGCAGCCCTTCTTTCTTGCTATTTCCTCCTATCTTTGTGGTCCGATCCAAGTCTATTAGCTATATAAAGAATATTATGTTATAGGGGAAGTATCCCAGGCTAGGGGTTAGCAAGGGGAAGTCCCAGGAAGGTAATAGCAATCTGAATGGGTAGGTTTTGCTAATGACCAACTAATATGACCTTGGATAAGCAACTTAATCTCTCTAAACCTCAGTTTCTTTGCAAAATGTGGTACCTATTCCTATTTACTTCACAAAGTTGTTTCCAGAATAGAATGTGATAGGTGAAAAAGAAAGTCCTAAAAGATAGGAACCAACCATACTAAATAATTATTATATCTTAGAACACTTTACAGTTTGAAACAAATCTAGAAGCACATAGCATGCAGAATCCTAGAATCAAAAAGACTGTTAGTTATATATTTTGAGCATTAATGTTTTAGGAAAATACCTTATCTTCATATAATGTACATTGCTGATATCATTACTCTAAATATATTAATACAGTAGACTAAAGATAAATCTACAGCTCACATTTATGTAAGGATGAAGGTCATGTTCTTCTTCTTTAAAGCCTGTTCTAAAAAATAGTTGTCTATAAGCTTTTTAAACTTGAGATTTTCATTAGTAATAAAAGAAACAAATTTAAGAAAGATTGTGCTCACATTTTGGAAGGTTTTCAGAGGAAGCAGCTGTGGTTTCTTTAGACCCCCAAGTCTATTATTCAGGTGAGTAGTGTATTTCATAATGAGTTCTAGACCACCTGCGTTTCTGAGGAAATTAATATTGAGATAGATTTACTTTGACTTTTCTTGTCTCAGTGGCTATGTATACAATTTTCCTATTCAATGAGTTTGGGTACCCCATAAAAGTGTTCATTCGATGTTGTTCAGCTATCGATGATTATTTTTTAAGACAATGTCTAGATGTGCTTACAACAAATTCTTATCTTGGTGAGTTTTGAGACTGACACATACACTCCTCTAGTAAAATAGTCAGTAAACGATGTAAATACAGTTTTACTTTTAAGGCCACAAATACTAATAATGAATAAAATAGTGTTTTAAATGAATTTGACCATAGTGTAAACCACTAGAATTCAAAATAGTGCCTTAATTAGTTTCCTTTTTCTCACTCCTGCAGGAGTTTTGGGCTTCAATGGATGCAAGAAGCAGTAGGAGTTTGGAGAATGCAGTGAAAAGGGTCTATCATGATCAGCTTGTTCCAAAGATAAATACAAGCAAGAAAATGTCCACCTTAGCACACCCGCCTAACATCCTGGAAATGCCACAAGAGATGAAGAAAAACTGTGGAGATACACAGGTAAAAATCACACCTGAAAGAACAAAAATGACAAAGAGCATCAAAGAAAAACAAAGCAATGATTTAGAGAAAGTGGCCTTTAAACGGAAGGCAGAAGGTGAAGAAAAGCCAGCTGGAAAGAAAGAGGCAAAGATAATAGAAGCTGACAATCAGTTAATCACCATGCCTCTGCCGCGCATCCCCTTAAAGAACATAATGGATGTGGAAATGAAGCTGGTCTACGTTGATGAAGAGGGCGTTAGCTATGAGTTTGTAGAGTCCTTCATGTCTACTGGGAGTCAGCCAACATGCCAGACTGCTGAAATAGGAGACCCTTTGAGTGTACCTAATTTCAGCTTTCCACCTCAGATTGACAAATGGCTTCAGGTAGCCTTAAAGGATGCCAGCTCTTGCTATAGACAGAAGAAATACGCCATGGCAGCAGGACAGTTCAGAACAGCACTTGAGGTATGGGATTAAAGAAAATATAGATTGGTGACAGGGAGCTGTGAAATGGAAAATTGCAATTACTTTGAGGGGTTCTGACCAGAGTGTAATAAACAGTGATCATGAGGTGAGGATATTTAGTGATATCAGGATTTTGCAGTTCCCGGTTTACATAAAGCAAATAAGCTATGCCTGCAAATTAATATGCCTGTGTGCTCTTGACGTATAGAAATAACCCCAAAAGCATACCTCATGCTTTTTGCAAAACCTGAAGTGAATGGTGATAGCTTTTTTAAATGCAGTTGGTTTTGTAATTTGGATGTACACCTATAAAAGCCATAAAGTTTTAGTACAATGGTGGTGGGTAGAATATAGATTCTCTAGAAATAGGCAGTTAATGAGTATCTGAATGGTCTGCCTTTCATATGTAGTATCCTCATGATTAAACATAACCATCTTTACTTTTCAGCATGTGCTTATAATTTATACATGATACTTATTACGAACAAAATAACACGATTTTTCTTTCCCATTAAACTTTACCTTCCTCCCCAATCTAGTGATCTTTATGAATAATTATCTTCCTATCTGTAAACAGGTAAATCTGTGAATATCTTGGCATAAAAAGTAGCCCATGGACTGAAATAAACTTCAGAATCACTACTAAAACACAAAATAGGTAGTGGGAAAATTACACTAGCTCCTGACATGCTGGACCTACAGAAGGAACAAAGTGTGTGCACCATTGCCTTGCTAGATTGATAAGTGCGTATTTCATATTTCATTTTACAAAACTATCTCACACAAGACATTTTAATGCATACTACATTTGCCTGCTGGGCACCGGAGATATTTAAAAAGAAATGTATGAGGACATGGTTCCTTTCCTCTAACTATCTGATGAGGAAGACAAACTAGTAAACATTTAAATAAAGATGCCATAAAGGCCGGGCACCTGTAGTCCCGGCACTTTGGGAAGCCAAGGTGAGAGAATTGCCTGAGACCAGAAACTCCGGGCCAGCCTGGGTAACATAGTGAGGTCCTGTCGCTACAAAATGTAAACATTTGCTAGGCGTAGCGGCACCCACCTGCACACCTAGCTATTCAGGAGGCTGAGGTGAAAGGGTCTCTTGAGCCCGGGAAGCAAAGGGTGTAGTGAGCTATAATTACATCACTGCATTCCAGGCTGGGCAACAGAGTAAGACTCTATTTCCAAAAAAAAAAAAAAAAAAAAAAAGATGCCGAAAAGAGTAATTGACCACGAGCGATGAGTGAGCAAGAGTCGAATGTGACATGTTGTGAAAGCGGTGAAGATTTAAAGAGTAAAGTATTATTTTATTGTTACTTGCAGGTTAAAATAACTACAACTACAATGAATTATTAATAGGTGATACCAGACAATGGTTCTTCTGAGTATTTTAAAAGACGCTAAGCACAAAAAGAGACCTGAGTAGATTCAGAAGGAATTAGGTAGCTCACAAATAGATGCATCTGCGAATATTTCTGCTCTCATAAAGGGTCATCTACACAAATAAGGGAAATGTGATGCACTACTTAAATTTCCAAACTATCTAATAAGTGCCGAAAAATCCGTATTATCCACAAACCACCAAAAGAACCCTCTGTTCTTTTGAACAGTCTTTTGAGCTAAGGCCCAGCAGCCTCTGTCTAAGAAAAGGATGCTAATGAAAGACTCTACAAAGAACCCCAGGCAGTTCTACCAGGGCCATCTTAAGCTGAAATTTATTTTCCTGGCACAGGGAGGGTTAAAGGTATAATTTTATAGTTAAAGAAAATAATCATTTTGGTGTGAAAAAAGAAGAGCATCTTTTCTTAGCTACTGTAAAAACTTCAAATTAAGTCTAGGTAAAAGCAAAAGATAATTGCATTAACTGAAAAAAAAAAATACCCAGTTTTCCATAAAACAGTGTTCAAAATTATAAAATTTCAATCAGATTTTGTTGATCCTAAAATTAATCCTCACGCCTGTAATCCCAGCACTGTGGGAGCCCAAGGTGGGCGGATCACGAGGTCAAGAGATCGAGACCATCCTGGCCAACATGGTGGAACACCCGGTCTCTACTAAAAATGCAAAAAAAAAAAAAACAGCCGGGTGTGGTGGCGCATGCCTGTGGTCCCAGCTACTCGGGAGGCTGAGGCGGAAGAATTGCTTGAACCCAGGAGGCAGAGGTTGCAGTGAGCCGAGATCTGCCACTGAACTCCAGCCTGGCAACAGAGCAAGACTCAGTCTCAAATATATATATATATATATATATATATATATATATATAATATTGTACTGAATAATGCTTGTGTTTATATAATATTGTACTGAATAATGCTTGTGTTTCTCTCTCGCTCCTTCCCCGCTCCCTCTTTCTTTCTCTCTCTTATTCTCCTTCTCTCTCCCAGGGTTTTTAGGACAGTTTTGGTTGCTGACACTAATTACTGATAATTAGCAAAAATAATTATTTGGAAACCAAAACTTAACTTAGACGTCTGGCCTAGCTTCTGTCTAATTATCTAGGGAATTAACTTTGAAATCTTAGCCAAAATGTCTATTAATAAAACAAAGGTACTGGAAATAGAAAAGATTTGTAGCCTTTTTAGTCTTTCCTTTTTTGAATTTAGCTTCTAAACTTAACTTTATTAATTCTGAGTGTTCTCAGGGATCATTTAAGGCATCTCTCCCTTTTCCTTAAGTCCTAATGTGGCTTTTGAATGAGATAGGATGGGCGACAGAGGCCAAAGGCATAATGATAATGATCACCCTTGATAGATGCAGCAGGAAGTATTTGAGCGTGTATGCATTAGGGTTGGGTTTGGCTGCAAAATAACAGTGTCTGAAGGAAGGTGGAAGTTTATTTCTCTCATACGTACATGTTGGTAGTCAGGGCTGATATGGAATAAGGATCAGGATGCCAGGTTTTATTTTGTTTCCTAAGAAGTGGCTTTGACTTCATGATCCAAGATGACTGTTCCTGCTGGTGTCATCAAATAGGCAATCTAGCCAGCCAAAAATGAAAAAAAGGAAAGAGAGGCACACAGTGTCTCCATGAGCACATTTCACAGAAGTTGCACCCAACGTTTTCATTTTTTTCGCCATTAACCAGAATTGATTCCTGTGGCCGCACGTACCCGCAAGGGAGGCTAAGAAATACAGTCTTTATTCCAGATGGCTAAAATATTCAGAAGCTCTATTACTGAGAAAGAAGAAGAAAATAGGTACCGAAGGATAAGTAACTTCTCTCCCATAGAAGCCTTGTTATTTGGGAGGTGTTGTGAGACTTTTTTCTTTTTTTGAGATGGAGACTTGCTCTGTCACGCAGACTGGAGTTCAGTGGCATGATCTGGGCTCACTGCAACCTCCGTCTTCTGGGTTCAAGCAATTCTCCTGCCTCAGCCTCCTGAGTAGCTGGGATTACTGGAGTCCACCATAACACCCGGCTAATTTTTGTATTTTTAGTTGAGATAGCGTATTGTCATGTTGACCAGGCTGGTCTTGAACTCCTGACCTCAGGCAATGCAACTGCCTCGGCCTCCCAAAGTGCTGGGATTACAGGCATGAGCCACCGCGCCCAGCCGAGACATTTGAAACGGTCGCTAAATATGTGGTACAAAGTCAGCTGTAAGGGCGTGTGGAGGACTGGTTGTGGTTAAAGGTGAGGCCACAAAAAAGAAACAGAAAAGTAAGAACTGAGCAAAGGCCCGGGAGGCGTTTAAATATTTATTAAGTGACATAATAATTTCCAATGCATCTAATAAATCCATTAGGAATATTCTGTTTATGTGTTAGTTTCCTTTGTGCTCTTGACAAAGTACTAACTCCTTTTGCTTTCATAACATAGTCACTAACTAGATAGGTAAATTTATGATAACATTTTATAATGATTAAGATCGAACGGTACGCAATGATTCAGAAGACAACAGTTTAACTTCCAAAACCCTGTCAACTTTAGTCTTTTAGGATTTTGTAACATAGCAGGTGTTTATGTAAACATGCTCAATGAAATAACTTATTTTTGCATGCTTTCTTTTTACTGTATAAAGGTGAACCTGTTACATGGGTAAGATTGGTCCTTAGCTCTATGACCACCTCATCAATCTTTCGCAAGTTTTACTAAAAACGGTCGTCATTTGCTCTTATGTTTGTATTCACACCAGAAGCTAAACCAGTAGGGCAAAAGGTGTAAGCTGAAGATAAAAACACAAATTCGTATTATTTTATGTGGTCATGCCTAGATACTAGTCCCTGCAATTTTAAAAAGACAGCTATACAAATTTATCCACAACAAAACCAGTAGAGATTCTATTAAAAAATATATGACTGACCTCATAGAGTTGTATTTGCATATTATGCAACACATACTACTATGTTACAGATTGCTTGGCTGTCAACAAAATGTAGGAAAAGAGTAATAAATTAGGAAAACATAAAGGACAGAGGATGTAGCAATCATATTTTTTGTCACATATAGGAATAACGCTCAAAGAAATTATCAAAGGTTTTTCTAACTCTGTGGCATGCAACTTACACAATACTATTATTTCAACCTTAATCATAGGATCCTAATAATTATGAGGCTTCCATCTTCTGAATTAGAACAAATCTATGTGTATCCTTCAAGATTCACAGCTTCAAACAATCGCACTAAATCCATCAAAGAAGACAGAACAAGGCCCATTCATTATCAACCAGAACTTTCAATTCTTCCGATTTTATCATGCAGGGACCCCTTGAGGTGCTAATCTTTTTTTAATATCATGGCTCTTCAGTCACTGATCTGTGAAGCTAAAGTAATAACTCACGTTTATGGAGCTCTTTGTGTGTGTCAGGTACTATATTTTACATTCTGGGAATATTTACATTCATTATTCCGTTTTATTCTCAAAACAAGCCAATGAGATAACACTGCGATTATTGTTGTGTTACCAACAAGAAAACCCCGGGTGGACAGGTCGAGCCACTTGCTCAAGGGTCAAAGCTAGAAGTGGAGGAGTGAGGATCCGGGTGTCTGGTT